TTGCTTTCCTTCTCAGCGATGCTTCCTCTTATGAGCTGCTTTGTCCTAATATCCAGAGTCCCCGTCCGGGTTGGTGCAGTGGGCTGCTTCCCAACAGAGGCTTGTGGCCAACCATTTTCCTGTTCCTCCAGGCCTGGGCATCCTGAAGTGAGACCGCCTGACAAACTCTTCCCTAAAGTCCTTGGAATCATCTCCATTCTGGAAACTCCTCCTGGTTTTTCCCTCAAGCTAGTCGTGGATATAGGAATAGACCTTACTAGGGCTTAATTTTGTTTCTTTTGAGACACCCTTCATTAACTTGATTTCAGATCCCACCAGGAGTCTTCTTAATAACCAGTTTGTTGATCTTTCCACTTCTTGAATTGAGCCTTTTAGAAATGTATGATTTAGATATTCTGATTACTTGAGAGTGGGAGCCATAAAGGCCATTGTTCTGGCCAACTTTACTATTTCTTTGAGCAGTTAATCTGACCATGCTAAAGGAGGTAGAGTGGACACAAACTGTCCCATCACCACTTCCTTGGTGTATGATCCAAAAACCACTTTAGTGGATGAATCTTTCTGAAGACATGCTTTCTAAAGACCTCAAGTCATGATCTGGGCCTTTAATCAGCAGCATTTCTGTTTTATTTCTCTTTTGTGGTTGTGTGTGAATCACCAGGCAAAACATCATTCATAGCATTTTGTTTAGTCAACCAGTCCTTAAAACTTACTTTATTCTTGGGATACCACTCTACTCTTGCTGTTCATTGTTACAGATAGCTCATGCTAAAAGTAGAACTTTTGGTTTAGGTTATTTGGTTGTATTTAATTTCCAACAGTGACTCTTCCCTTAAATAGAGTGATTCTTTGGTATAAGATCTTTCATTATATCCTCCAGAAACTAAGTAAAAATGTAATTTTATTGACATGTATATGCTAACTTTTAAAAGTAATTTATTTACTTTTTTTTATTATCAATTTTAATGAAAATTTACAGAGACTTTGGATTTCCATTCATTCATTGTTGCACTTTTCTCCCTGCCCACCCCTCCCCACAAGTACACTCTTCTCTTTGAAAAGTAAAAGAAAAATTCTTTCATTGTTTTACAATCCTCCCCCCAGGTCCACTCCACTATGCAGCCTTCGTTCTGGATTCCTTTCATCACAGTAATACCTAATCACATGTCCCTTTTAAACAGTTTTCTCCCTCATCTGTTTCAGTGCAGTATACATTTTTATCCCATCTTTCTCAGTCTCTCCCCAACCCCGATGTCAGTACTGTTTTACAACAGTGGCAGCATGCAGTATTTGTCCTTTTGTGACCGAGACATTTCACTCAGAATAATGTCCTTGAGGGTCACCCATTTTGAATAATACTGCACAAGGTCCTTGTTTTCAGTGCAGCGTAGTATTCCATTGTGTAAGTACACCACAGCTTCTCTATCCATTTGTTTATTGATGGGCACTTAGGTTGTTTCCAGTTCTTCGCTATTGTGAACAAAGCCGTGATAAACATGGGTGTGCAAGTAATTTACTTTTTTAAAATATTTTTTAAATTCATTTTTTGCACATTTTCTTTCCCCTTTTTCCTGCTTCTCCCCTAGCCCACCCCACAATGCACCTTTGTTCCAGATTGTTGACATACATATAATGCTTAAACAGATACTCCTAGTAATTCTTTTAATTTGAAAATTTGGAAAGTGTTTTCTGCTGGCATAAAAATCACATATATATGTTGTTAAGAGTTGTCGAGTCGAGCACTACTCATAGCAACTCTTATGAACAAAAGACCTGAACCCTGTTCTAGAACTGTTGTTGTTTCTCTAAGTTCATTGAGTTTCCAGAGGCATGTTGTTTAGGAAATGGATTCCACTTCTACTTTCTTATTCTGGGAGTCCCACCAAACACTGTCCACCATGGGTAACCATTATGGCATTTGACATAGCACAGCATTCAGCCTCACAGCAACTTCAAGTTACAGTACAGCAAATTGACAGACCAGCGCTGTAGCACTTAGAAGAATGTGCATTCCAAACACAGTTAACACCAGCCAGGCCCACCAGGCTCTAAACAAGAGGCTTGCAGCCCACAGCTCACACAAAGCACGCAATTAGCCAAGTCCAGCAAATCCAATCAGCTAACACACGGTTGTGAATGAAATAAAACCAACCAAACAGTCCACACCTTGACCCTCAACCAAAACAGTAAGAACCCACCTTTCAGAATCCAGTGGCTTCACACATACATGAGTCACAAAACTGCATCTGCAATTTTAGTCCAACCCCACTTGTCTAGTATGTCAGAGACAGTGAGACTGACTCAGGATAGGGCAGACTTCAGAGCTACTGTAGGGTTGCTATGTGATGCAGGAACTGAGGAGGACCTGAAGCGCTTGCTGCAGAAGGTCAAGGACTACAGCCTTCAATATGGATTGAGGCTCAATGTCAAGAAGACAAAAATACTCACCACTGGACTAATGGGCATCATCATGATAGATGATTAAGAGATTGAGATTATTAACAGCTTCAGTTTGCTTGGCTCCACTCCGCTCTATCCTGTGCCAACCTCACTGTCTCTGACACACCTACTCCCATTACCCCAATCACTCAATTAATCCATCTCATTGAGGGTCTTTCTCTCTTGTGCTGTCCCCTCCACCCTCCCAAACATGATGTCCCTCTCCAATGACTGGTCCCTCCTTGCAACATGCCCAAAGTATGTCAGATTTCAGAATCCTTCCCTTCAAGGAACAGCCTGGTTTCACCTTCTCTGGGACAAACCTGTTTGTTCTCCTAGCAGTCCATGGTATATTCAACATTCTTCTCTAGCACCACGGCTCAAAGGCATCAATTCTCTTTCCAGCATTCCTAGTCATTGTTCAGCTCTCTGACACAAAGCACACAACTGTGAAGACTAGGGCCTGGATCAAGCGCACCTTAGTCTCCAGCCTGATATCAGTGCTCTTCAGCACTCTGGAGAGGTTCCTTGCCTTTCCCAATGCAATTCGTCTCTTGATTTCCTGGCTACTGGTACCAAGAGTGTTGAATGTGGAGCCAAGCAAACTGAAGCTGTTAACAAACTCAATCTCTTAATCATCTATCATGATGATGCCCATTGGTCCAGTGGTGAGAATCTTTGTCTTCTTGACGTTGAGCCTCAAGCTATATTGAAGGCTGCAGTCTCTGAGCACATATACCCTGCCTACTATTTAATATTTGTCTAATGTTGAGGGCAATAAAAATGCATTCTCAGCAGTGGGTAGTGCTCAGGCACACCTTGTGTTTTACTGTTTCTGAAGGACATTCTTTTATCTTCTCTGTAGTTTTCTTTTATTCTGCCTTGTATTATGCCCAGGAGATTAGACTTGCTCTGTGTAGAATGACGTGGATACAGGGTTTTGATGCAGCTTGAGGAAAAGTTCTTACACTGAAAGCTTTTAAAAAAAAACAACAACAGGTATCCTGGAAAAGTAATAACTTCTCTAACATTGAAGATGTTTGGAGACAAGACTTGATGTTCTGCGTTGCTCTCATCTTTTTTTTTTATTCTTATTTTGGGTCCAGCCATTACTGAACTTGGAGTTAGAGAGTTAAAGAGGTCAGACCCTGATGCAAAATAGACAGGACTAATTTAATCCAGCAGTTTATTGATGTGGTGTGGGAGCAGAGCCTTCTCTCAAGAAACAGAGAGCAGAGCGTTTGGGGGATTTGGAGACAACAAAAACGTATATAGGCTTATTAATTCCATTCATTGCACTAGTTAAGGATTTAAATAGTGTCTGAGCTGGAGAGAAGATAGTTCCCTTGGGAGTACTGAAACAGAGGTGAAGACATCTCCAGATTTAAGGACATCTCCAGATCTGAATCCGGTGAAGACTCTGTTAGATCTTTTGAGTTTTCTTTCTCCTGCAAGTTTTGTTTTAAATATTTTGCATTTTCAGTAATTCAGCATACTCATCAATTAGGATTTCTTTCTTTCTTTGATTTCCGTATGAATCAAGTAGACTGAAGAATAGTCTTGTTGATGAACTACTTCTAGTATGGTCCAGTGTGGTTAGACTTGCTATATATATATATTTTCAATGCATATAGAGAAATACTGCTTATTAGATGTTTTAAAACTTACCCTGAGGAAAGTAGAGAACTTCTTTTGTGAAGTTTTAAGAAAGGGGCTTGGCTTTTTAGGAAGAGTTGTTGTGGGTTTAAGAAACCTCTGAGCAATCATTGAAAGCTATGGATCCTTAAGTACAGGAGATGTCCATGGTACATAAAATTTCAGGAGTTCACACATTTCTCAAAGCCATATGACATTCAAAGTTCACTTGACACTTGGGCAAAATGTGTTGCTCATGCTGGAAGAGCTCTGTTGAAAATCCAGGTAATGATGTAACTCTGGAATTTTTCACTTTTTACTCCTTTCCTGTCACAGAATTCTTAATACTGAAAATGACAATCAGCCAAAATGTAGAGTAAGTGGCTTCCTTCCTATTACTATATTTTCCATCATTTTAATAAAGGATTGTTCTGGGATTGAATGCAGCAGTTGCACCAAATTGTGTACTTTGAGCATAGAGAATACAAATAACCAAAAGATGAGATCTATAAAGAAAAATGCACACAAGTTTACAATTTTTAATTCACCCAGAAGTTTAGGAAAATTATTTAGTCACAAATAATTGTTATTTCATCTATAAATTACTGGGAATCCTGAAAGAATCTGAAATAGAGTATCTTTGGTTGTCATGGTGTTTGACTGTATTGTTTGAGTCTTGAATATAAAGAAAGATTCTTTAAGAATGCTACTGGGTTTTAGTTTTGGTTTAATATACTTTCCTGGTGATCATCTTAGAAGTATAGTTAATAAATTCTTTTGAGTATGGTATGTACAGGCATTGTGCTTGATATTGGGAATTCAGAGTGTCATTCCTGTCCTTGAAGAGCTCATGATGCATCCTCAGGTAAAAGATTATCCTTCAGCTTGGTATTTATTTTCCTCCCCTTCTTCATTTTTCCAATCAGCTTTTCCCCAGACCTGGCTCTGGACTCACCAGGAACTGATCACTTTGTCATCATTGCCCAACTGAAGGAAGAAGTGGCTACTCTGAAGAAGATGCTGCATCAAAAGGATCAAATGATTTTAGAAAAAGAGAAGAAGGTATTAGTCAATGCATGTCAACCAGAATAAAATAGGATAAAGTATGTGATATGTGGCACAATGATAATATTTTTAATTATTATGTATAGTTGCTTAGAGGCTAAATGCTTGGAGAGAGAGGTCTCATGACAAGACGGGTATCAAGGAGAGGCTAGTTAAATGTCAGCATTCCCTTGGGGAATCCACTTGTCTAATGAGTTCACAAAGTGATTTTTCCAAGCATTTGGAGAGCACTTTAATGTCTCAGAGAGGAATTACAGCTAACGTGTTAACCAGCCTTATAAAGACCATGTATAAAACTGCATTGTCCACCTCTTAATGAAGAGTGAGGAACCCAACAATGTTATGCATCCTTAGCATGGGCTGCCTAGGAAGCCAGGTTGTAACCAGAAGGTTGCTGAATGAGTCTTAGATTCAGAATGAGAGGATGTAATTATGTAATTGGAATGTTTCATATTCTCAGACTAAGAGAACTTGAAGCCTCCATCTCTGTTCTTAGGATGACTGTGTCTCTGGGATAGAAATAGTCAAAGTATGCCCACCAGGTTTCCCTTTTCCTGGACAGTGCTTATGTCAGACCTCCTCTGTGTCACTTTGCTTCCAGCATTGACAACTCTTTTACTGACTTGACCAGTTCTTTAAACATGTTAATATATTGGTGGAGTCTTATTTGAATCTAAGAGATATCCTCTCTCTTCAAAGAAAATTTTTACATCTTTGTTCTGATCCATCTCTGTTAGTTATCCTGTGTTCAGGTTGTTGGAAAATTTTTGCCTTAATATAGTAATAACAATTATAGCTAACTTTTACTTGGTACTTAGAATGTGTCTATTGTAGGTGCTGTGTACATGTATTAACTGATTTATCCTCATAAGACAGCCACTTGAAGTAGGAATTATTATGACCATATCATAGATTAAATCCTCCCCTTATTTTTCCTTTTAAGGTTCTAATCTCTTCCCCTTATTCCGTTTTGTATTTTGTTCTTTCTTGAGGCTCTTACTCTCTTTTAGAACATTCCTACATGGCTAACAAGCATATGTTAAAGTCTTAACTTGTATTTTTTCCATTGGTTTTTGGCCTCACTTTACAGATAAGAACACAAATCCAAAGAAGTTAAAGTGTGCAAATCACACATAGCTAGTAAGTGGCAGAACAAGAGAATGAATCCCCATCTTTCTTTCTTTACTATTCTCTCAGTTGTACTCTGCTTCCTGTTGGCAGAAAAGTTGAGTGTCACACTTTACTACATAACTGGACCCAAGTATATTCTCTTCATGGACTAGCCTAGATAGGCTCATAAAAAAATTATATATTAGAAATACTACTTATTATTCTGCACAAAATGATCTGCTAATTTCTTTCCTCAGATTACAGAGCTGAAGGCTGATTTTCAGTACCAGGAATCTCAAATGAGAGCCAAAATGAACCAGATGGAGAAAACTCACAAAGAAGTTACAGAACAATTGCAGGTAATTGCTTGTTTTTTATGCAGTAACTCTTGTTAATTAAGTTGATTGCATTTTAAATTATCACCTCTTAAATTTCTTTTCCTCGAAGTATTGGTGAATCAGATTAATCTGTCTTATAGATAACTTCCAGTGTTTCATGTCTGGATGTTTTCTTCAAAAACAGTGCAATTAATGTGTTTGGTGTTTGCTGTGGTTTTTTTTTTTTTATAAAGTAGATGTGATTCTAGATGTCTGAATTTTAACTTCTGTTTATGTAGCACACTAAAGCACTCCAGATTTACCTGTGTTATATAAAGCATACTTTTGTAATCATGACTCCCAAGAGATTGAAGTATGCCGTTTCACCTCCAGTAACCCATTTTTTTTTCCTCTTCCTGAACCAAGCAAGTGCCAGTTGGTTTTTTTGTGTTTTTTAAAAAAAAAATTTTATTTATTTTTTTTTAACGGATGTTTGGGATTTCCATTCATTCATTGCCTCAATTTTCTCCCTGTCCACCCTTCCCCACCAGCTCGCTTCCCCCTCCGAAGAGAGAAAAAAAGAAAAAAAAAATTCCTTCATTAGTATACAGTTCCCACGTCCCTTCCCCCCACCCCCCACCCTGAGTACACTTCTCTATGCAACCTTAATTCTGGATTCCTGTGCTAACCATAATACTCAATCATATATCACTTCTAATCTGTTCTTTCCCTCATCTGTTTCAATACAATATACATAATTTATCCAGTTTTTTCTGTCATATCCCCACCCTGATGTCAGACCCATTCTACAACAGTGGCACTATGCAGTATTTGTCCCTTTGTGACTGAGATATTTCACTCAGCATAATGTCCTCCAGGGTCACCCACTTTGAATAATATTGTAAGAGTTCCTTGTTTTTCAATGCTGTGTAGTATTCCATTGTGTGGATATACCACAGCTTCTCTCTATCCATTCGTTAATTGATGGGCCCTTAGGCTGCTTCCAACTCTTTGCTATTGTAAACAAAGCTGTAATAAACATGGGTGTGCGCCAGTTGGTTTTTACCTCTAGAATTTTTGTCATCTCCTCTTGATCCTCCAGTGGTCTTTCTTAGCATCTGCCTGTATCTACCAGAAAAATATGTTCTGTGCTATTAAAGCCTTCTCCTTGCACTGATATTTTAGGCCAAAAACAGAGAACTTCTGAAGCAGGCGGCTGCCTTGTCCAAGAGCAAGAAGTCTGAGAAGTTGGGAGCTATCACTTCTCCATGAGAAACTAATAGGAGGCTGCTCCAGCAACAGCAGATGGAGTGCTGGTTTGGGATTGGAGGCCTGGCTGTTCTCTGTGAATTGCAAGCTTTCTTAAGAAATCTCTATTTTATTACAGTAATCTTCTTTGTGCGATTGCAGTGGGCTGACTGAATGGAAACATCTGGTTTGTGTTGTGTTATGGCCGCATGCTTGAGTGTTTGGGTTTTAAACTCTCCTCTTTCTCTTTCTCTCTTACGTGGTACTACTCTCTTGTGGTGGTCACTGCTCAGTGTTATGTGCAGAATAATCTCCCCTCCCCAGTCATTGTATCCTGCCATGAGCAAATGTTTTGGCATTAATGACATAGCACTGCCACCCTCTGAACTTCTAAAACTGCCACCTTATGACTTGGTAAAATGGAAGAGACTTTCTCTCTCCAATAAACCTTTTGCTTCAGGGTTTACTCTTGGGTTCTTTTCCAGGTATATTATGTATGAACTTTGTACTATGTATAGCCAGATTTTATTTATTTTTTAAAAAAGAAACTTTTTCTTGATAAAGAAGTAATGGTAGCCTAAGTAGTTCTTGTAAAAGTCATGCCTCTTGGGAAAACAAAAACAAACAAACAAACAAAGCCACAAAAAACCAGACCTACTCTCCAGCTTTTAGTAAGAACCAGATCTTTTCTTTCTTGTTACCTTGGAATCTTAAAAACTGATTGCTAAGGTGAAACAATTCAGTGCATAAGTATGGAGTTAAGTGCCTTTTGGAGGATTTCTTGGAAGAACATTTAAAGGAGGTAGCAAAGATTTGAATAGTCTGTCTTTTTAAAGTAAAGACAGAAAGAAAGGTTGTCCAGGTTGTACTGGACATTCCCCTACCCCTTTCCTGACTGTTTCATGTGATTGTTTATAAATTCTCACACTGCCACTTGCTTTTTAAAAAAATACCGTTGCTTTCTATTCCTTGTCTTACTGGGCAATTGTCAGCATTGTTTTGGTTTTCTTTTTTATGTTAGCAGATTAAAAATAGAACATTATTTGAACTACAGAGCATTTCTGAGGTTAGGATAAGCTGCTCAGTATGGACTCTGAGTCTGAGTGGGAGAAATTATTTCACATTATCTTCTCCCCGTGCCTCATCCACCCCAGTCTTTACACTCCTGCTTTTAATGGAAATGTATTGAAAACAGATGCTTCTCAGGAACAGCTTGGCCTCAACCAGAATTGTCTGTACCCTGTCTTCTCTTCTTAACTTCTGTCAGGAGGCACATGGATTTACTTTTCCAGAAGAGGGGACAGTTTGCATTTCTAGCCACACTCTCAGGTCCTCTATGTGATGTTTAAGATTTGGTGCAATTTAGAAACTTGTAGATTGCCATGAAACCCAGTAAAACCAACTGCCTTGGAATCATTAATCCAGAGGGATTCTTGAGTTAGAGTAAATGTCATGAAGGCAGATAGATCACTTTTGTACCTCACCTTACCAAAATTGTAGCAGTAAGTTTAACTTGCTTGGCATTTCCTAAAAACAGAATATTGTATCATTTGTGATAGCATTCCCACAAATGGAATCATGCACATACTGGACAGAGAGTTGGAAATGGAAGGCTTCCTTTTGATAAGAGGAACAATGGACCATGTTGCTTATATATCACCCTAGTAGGGAATGTAATTTTCCCTTCTAAGCAAGGGAAACAGCAGTGCTAAATAGTTTTGTAACTTTTTGAATGAGAAACATTTAGGTAACAATCTACTGTCAGATAATATTTTTCAGATGCATTTGCATTGAGTGTGGGGAAAAGTTGTAGAATATAATGACAGTCATGTTTTGTTTTTAATTTTAAAGGCTGAGAAATTTCTGTTACATGAAATATAAACACATGCTTAGTTTTATACTAAATCTTTTTTTAACGTCTTGGCGTTTAATATAAAGCAGTTCCACACATTTTCTAACTTTACATAAGTTCTAAAAAGGGAAAGAAAAGACCTCAGTCTTGAAATTTTGGTTTCTAAGAATCATGACACTGTTTTACCATGAAACTGAGTAGGTAACTTTTGGTAAACCCTTTGTTTCTTTGTATATTTGTAATGAACATTTTAAACGCAGGAATGTTTTGGTTTGTACAGACTTTGACAAATGTGTGTTAATAAAATTCATAATGACTCAGGTGTGGTTGTTGGATTTTTCTTTCATTCTTTTTTATGGTTTACCAGTAGATAGATTCCATTCCATTATTTCTCTCAACCTGGAAAATAATTCATCTTGTTTATAGACTTAAAAAATGGAAAGGCTCAAAACAACTATGAGATATCATCTCACCCCAGTAAGAATAGCAAAATTTAACAGAACAGCAAACAACAAATGCTGGCGAGGTTGTGGAGAAACTGGAACCCTTATTCACTGTTCCTGGGAGTGTAAAATGGTAGTATGGCGTGTTCTCAAAAAGTTGGAAATAGAAATACCATTTGACCCAGCAGTTCAACTACTGGGAATATACCCTAAAGAAACCAGAACTGCCACCCAAGCAGATACATGCTCACTCATGTTTATTGCGGCTTTGTTCACAATAGCAAAGAGCTGGAAACAACCCAAGTGCCCATCAACAAACGAAGGATAGAGAAGCTGTGGTATAGTCACACAATGGAATACTACGCTGCATTGAAAAACAAGGAATTCATGCAATATTATTCAAAATGGGTGACCCTAGATGACATGCTGAGTGAAATATCTCAGTCACAAAAGGACAAATACTGCATAGTGTCACTGCTGTAGAATGGAACTGACATCAAAGTTGGGAATCTAAGGGGATAAATAATATACTGTATTGAAACAGATAAGGGAGAGTACTGTTTAGGAGGAAGATATGATTAGGTATTACTGTCATGACGAGTCCAGAATGAAAGCTGCATAGTGGAGTGGACAAGGAGTGAAGGGATTGTATAAAAAAGATTTTTTTTAACTTGTCAAAGGGAAAGGCAAATTGGGGGGAGGGGTGGGCAGGGAGGAAAGTATGCAACAATGAATGTATGGAAATGAAAAAATTGAAAGTCTGACTATACTAATAAATGTTCTATTTGTAAGAGAGTAATTTTTCTCTCCTGTGTTATATATTGAGTGGTTGACTTTTTTTTAGTCATTGTGCTAGGGAATTGGGAGTATAGTATAAACAAAACCAGTTCCTTCTTATTTGACCTCCTACTGAGAAATTACATCTCCACTCAGTAATTAGAATCTACATTTCATAAGATCCCCAGGTTGTATACATAAAAGTGACCTGGGGAACTTGTTGAACTATTGACTCTAATTCTGTGTGTATGGGGTAGATATATAAATTTTTATCAGCTGTTCAAACCAGAATGAACCAGTCCAAAACCCTGCCACAGAGTGTTCTGGTTACTATTTCTGGGTAACTACTTATCCCAAACTTAAGTGCCTTAAAACAACTATCTTAAATATGCTCATAGACACTGTAGTTCAAGACTCTTCAGGATACAGTGAGGATGATCTGTTCCACAATGTCTAGTCATCAACTGGGAAGATTGAAAAGCTGAAGGTGACTTAATTGGGATGAATCCCCTCTCTGAAAGCTCTGTTTACTTACATCGCTGGTGCCTGGACTGTGATGATATTTGAAGTGTAGTAATGTGAACTGGAGCACCACATATGGCCTTTCTATACATCTCCCTCCCAATTCATGGTGACTTCATTGTGTTCAGATGACTTAAGGTGGTGGCCAAGACTCCAAGCACAAGTTTGCCAACTAATAGTTGAAACTATTACATCTTAGAACTGGGCCTCAGAGGTCATGTAACCTCACTTCCATTTTTTACTTCCATGTTTTCCTTTACTGGTTAAAACAGAAGCTTCAAGAGCAGGACATAGAGATCCTTTCTCTTGAAGGGAGGGTGACTGTCATGGCGGCCATCAATAGACCAGATAACCTGCCACAGATGGCATGGACTTTTGAACTAAATGGATCAGAGAGAGCAAAGCAGAAGCTGCGATGGCTTTTATGAAAGCTTCAACTCAGATATGGTTATTTCTGCAATATCCTGACATAGGTCACATCACAGTCACATCACCCGCACTATTTAGCATGAGAGGAGACCACGCAGGAGGCAAGACTCACTGGATAGATTAAATCTCTTGGAGGCTGGTTGTTACATTGGCCATTGACCTATAAGATAGGTAATCACTGTGAACTGGACCTTGAAGACAGAAATGAAAATTGGCAATTTAATGCAAATAATTTCTGTTTTATAACTATTGATGGGAATCAATGACTTTGCTTACCTGTCCTTTTTCAGGACAGTAGCAACTCTATTGAATGTATCATTTGGGGGAACTAAAGTCTCGAGATTGTTACTGGCATCTAGTACACCTTCTATTTTCTAAGTGATTATCTACACCTTCTGTAGAATCAAAGTTTTCTGTTTGCTGAGAGATAAGCATATGTTGGTATTACATACTTTTAAGTCAGAACTGACTCATAGCTGACCTTCCAGGTTTTCAGAGCCAGTAAAATGAAATATTTTTAAAATGCTGCCATGAACATTTTTAGAACACATGAATGCATTTGTAGCTCTGCCACTTACTGTGCAACCTTGAGCAAACATCCATAACCTTTAGCAATACCAAGGAGCCAGTCTTGCCTTCCTGGATAGCAACTTGAAAAATGGCTAGAGCTGAGAAACTTTATTTTCTAAAATCATATTGTTAGCAAAATTACTATTTGGAATCATAAAGTAAGACTGGAACATGTCACCCTTGCCCAGGGAATTTTAGTTACTTTGACAGAAAGTAGTAGCTTCAATTTCCAACCCAGGTGCAGAGCTTCCAATAAAGGGTTTCCAAATACAACATTCCACATTTATCTTCACATTGTAGTTTCCAAGGAGACAGGATCTCTAGTTCTTTTGTTAGCAGGCCTGATGTTAATACTTTTATTCATATCCTGGTGTGCTTTGAGGCTATCAAAATACTGCTGCTTTTAAATTTTACTTAAACTCCATCTTTTCCTTTAAATCCTAGAATAATTAGATTTTGTCTGTTCTTG